AGAAGCTGCAGGAGGTGATTGAGGTCCCAGAGGACAGACAGCTGGAGGAGGTAGATGAGGTCCCGGAGGACAGACAGCTTCAAGAGGTGAGTGAAGTCCCAGATGACACTCAGGTGGAGCAGGTGGCCGGCAGCCTATCAGTGGTTCTGAAGGGCCAGCCATGAAGTAGAAAAAGTAGTGCAATTCTGACAAAGAATGAGGCTCCCCTTCAGCCCTATTGACCTGCAAGGCAGAAGGAGGCAATGTTTTGAAATATATTAATTTGATGGACAGAAGCACCAACACAAGCTGCACCTTATAACACAGGTGATAGTCCCTTGTACCTCCCCCTTCTCCACGTTTCAAAATAGCAGCATCAGTGCCATAAAGTTTCCCTTCCACTGCGTCCTGCCAGCAGGGGAGTGAAGAAAAAATCATGAGGACAAACTGCTGTCCTCACATGCCACTGTGTCTGCCTGCAAATGTAGGCAGGCTGGGGGCCTGTCCCAGGGAAGGCAAAGACATTGCACAGTAATAAAGAAGCATGTTTTTGGGCCGGGCGCGGTGGCTCATGCCTGTAATCCTAGAACTTTGGGAGGCCGTGGTGGGTGGATCACCTGAGGTCAGGAGATCAAGACCAGCCTGGCCATCATGGTGAAACCCCATCTTTAAAACAAAAAAAAAAAAGAGAAGCATATTTTTGACACAGGGATATCTATGTATATCCTCATTCCTCCCTCACCACCATCACAGGAGCATGTTCCTTGCATCACAAAGAGAGGAATAAAAAGCCCCTGTCCACACGAGTCGCAGCTACTCTTAAGAATGTTTTTGAGGCCTTTCATGTTCTGTCTCTGATTCTCAGAACTCTGTAAGGTCAGTGTGACCACCCTGCTCCAAATCTAAGAAAACAGAGGCTCCCAGATGAAGAATATTCTCCCAGGGTCACTCAGCTGGAAAGAGACAGAGTGGAAGTCGATTCCTGCTCTGCTTGGAGAACCCCCTCATCCCTGCACTGCTTCCTTTCTTGACAAAGGGTCTTCACTCTGGAGATGCCACCGGTGGGCAGAAAGAGCTCTGGAGAGATGTGGATTCCTGAAACCTGAGGGGAACTGGGAGAGGGTTTTCTGACAGAACAATCCTACATACAGATGTTAGTTTCACACAGCTATAATATTTGTTTTAACTCCCAGGTAATACCAAATTCTAAATGCAGTATGACATAAAGAATAATTCTGACCACGGAAATATGAGGTGGGAATTATAAACAACAGAAGTTTTAAAAATCTGTTTGATTTCAAGTGTACAAGTCCCATTATGTGTGATCAGAGGACTCGGCAGCTGTCAAAGCTACAGAGGCCACAGGAGAACCAGCTTAGCTGAGCATCATTTAAAGCCTTCGTTGGGATTTGTCGCTGTAGGTAATGAGTAATGTTCACTTTTTATTACCTCATAGCCAAGGCACATTTTGTTACAAACATGGAACCTCTGACACTTAAAGTATTAGATCAGGGACACCACTGGGTGGGGTTGGGGCATTTTTGCACAGCGCAGCTACCAACAGAGATGGGACTGCGATGAATTATGGAATTGACTTTGTCAAAGAACATTCAAAATTGCACAAAGAACATATTAATGTTGGATTAATAAGTTTTCACTTTGTTCACTTCTGGGATTACAACAGGTATTCTAAATGTTAATCACCTACTTATGGCAGAATATAAAATCACAGCTAAAAAAGAAAACCCCACGTATTTTGGAAAGGGGACCCTGCAACACCTTGAGTAAAAGGGATCAGTCAGTGTCCACTGGGCTGTGAGACCTACAGCAGTGGAGTTCAGTGGCATCGCCTCATGTTATTTCTGGAGACAGAACAGTGAAAGCCTTTCAGCCCTCTGCCCATAAGCATTTATGGCTTCTGGAGGTGCCACCAAAGATGACCAGCTTGGAATAGAGAAGCCTGAAAGCTCATGGAGAAGATTTTGCTTTTCAAAAAGTCAAAACAAAGAAGGTACCAGAACCCACAGAGCAGAGGCCAGGCCAGGAAGAGGGTGCTGTAGGAAAAGATAGAAGTGTCCTGAAATAGGCAAAGTGACCCCAGCATTTACCTTTGTCTTCTCTGTTTTCAGTTGGGATGCAGCTGCTGTTCCTCTTGGGAATTGAATGAGGTCCTGAATTGGCTAGGGCCAGAGAAGAGAACGTGGCTTAATCTGGCTTGCATGTTCTGTGCAGAATGAGAAACCCTCCACGCCCTCCTCTGCCATCTCACTATCTTTGCCACACTCATGTCCCTAACCACAGACACGGGGTTTATTGACCAGATGCCTCAGATGACCTGGAGTCCCCTGGGCTTTCATCCTTGAGGAAGACACCACAGAGCTCTAGTCTAGGTAACATTTTCTTTCTTTTTTTTTTTTTTTTTTTTGAGATGGAGTTTCGCTCTTGTTGCCCAGGATGGCATGCAATGGTACAATCTGCAACCTCTGCCTCCTGGGTTTAAGTGATTCTCCTGCCTCAGTCTCCCAAGTAGCTGGGATTACAGACACCCACAACCGTGTCTGGCTAATTTTTTGCATTTTTAGTAGAGACGGGGTTTTACCATATTGGCCAGGCTGGTCTCAAACTCCTGACCTCAGATAATCCACCTCCTCAGCCTCCCAAAGTGCTTCCCAGCACTTTACAGGCATGAGCCACCATGCCTGGCCTGGATTTTCTTAACTCTCAACCAACTGTGGACAGGTAGGGCTCTAACCAGCTAGAAATGAGCTCTAAATCAGGTGTTCCCAGTGCATATCAGAGGAAATCACTCGTAACTTAAGCACTAAAAATTAAAATAGTGTTAGGCGGCTGGTTAGCTCAGTTGGTGAGCAAACCGACCGCCGGACAGTAATAATTAAAAAAAAAAAAAATAGCAACAGCCATGGATGGGAAGAATTTCAATAAACCCTGGACAGGAACAGCACTGCTCCTTTTCTTCAAGCCGTAGGGGCATTCAAAATTCTGTGGATTTATAGTTAATCTAACTTCCATATCTAACCAGGTATTATCAGTATTTATGAACAGAAATGGACATAAAGAGATGAACAGTAATGAAAAAAGGTAAGAGCTGCAGAAATTAACTGGAAAGTTTTAGGGTTACACTTAAAATGTTAAGAGGAGGAAGATTACATAGAAATTTACTAATAGAGTTATATAGCTCACAATAAACAATTTAAACAAGTAAAAAGAATGAAGCTCCAAAAAGTGTAAATAAATGCTTCTTTTCTTTTTTTCTTATTTTTTTTAATTGATACGAACATACCCAAAACCAGCTTCTTTTCTTAAAGCAGATCTCATGGTACAATATTGATCCATGAAGACATTGCCCAGAAAATTTCCGCTTTCATCAGTACATACGGCTCCCATTCTAAAATGTCCTTGCTATTACTTTTCTCAAATGAAATAAAAATAAAGCCTTCACACTGACTCAAGGTGGGAAGGGGAGCTGGCCCATTTGCCTACTAGGCTTATCTCCTCATTTAAAAGTAACCAAGAGGGACTGGGCGTGGTGGCTCACGCCTGTAATCCCAGCACTTTGGGAGGCCGAGGCAGGTGGATCACGAG